ATTTTCTTTAACAGAAGGATAAAACCATTAACCTTTCATTCTGATGCACCTTTCCAGTTTGAATCAGCTGTAAAAGAAAGTAGGCGTAACAGGCATTGAGGTGTATTAATGTCAGGGCTTTTTTATCCAAGACTGGAAGCCCAGCAACAAAAGCATAATCTGTTCGCTTAACAAAAAAGCACACAAAAAAACCCTCTAGCTTTTGAAAATCAGCAACAATAGCATTACTGGTTGCTAGCTGTAATTTGCTTATGTTATAGATGGCAGCATTTGCATGGAGCTGAAAGGAACAGGTGTCCTAATAAAGTACATGGTTATTCATGATCTCTCTTCTTTTTTTCCTTAAAGTTGGAATTTCAATTTTCACACTCCTTTCTCTGATCCTTCTCAGATTAGCTGCTGAACTGCTGAATACTTTGAAGTGTGTAAGAAGGACTTAATGAAATGCTTGATAAAATACCACGGTGGAACGTGTGAAGTAATGGATTTTCAAGCACAATACTAGTTCAACTTTCTTGCAAATTTCGAATGCCTGGGACTGTTGTGAGGATGCTGAAGGGCAGAGCAGATTCAAGCACAAAAAGCTTTTACGTACAGTTGAAATACTGCCTCGGTCTGCCACAGGTTTTTTGTGTGACATCTCGGTAGTATGCCTGAACCTTAGTTTAAGTGTCTACACTAAGCTCAGATCTCGAGGAATGGAGTCTGCGCTTACCTGTAGATATTTTGAAAGACAGAGGTGAGTGTTAGGGGAAATGCATCAAGAGCACAGAATGTAGTCCAAGATGGCCTTTCATCTAGGTAAAGGGGGGGGAAACTATTGAAGGTGCCACTGTTCTTTCAAAGAGCGAGTGAAACAACCCAGTGTAAGCCAAAGTCATTGAGTAGGTTGGAACTTGAGGTTCTGCTTGATGTTGCTGGAGTTCTGGTCCTTTGTGGGAGATATATGTGAACTTGCTGCTCCTTTTGAGTGTGCGGGGACAGTGGTAATGGGAGAAAATCTTAATTTATGGTGTTCCATTCATGCATTGGTGTAATGTATCACAAATCAGTAAGGGTAGCTGCTGGCAGCACTGCTCTAGGCAGTGTAACGAGTGTGTTTAAGCTGTTGCTCTCTCCACCTGATTGGTCGCTGT